TAATTAATTATTTAATTATGTTATATGTTGTTTAGTATGTATGAGTATTTATTTAGTTATTATATCTAGTATATAAGATATACTACACACATATAATATATATTTGTTACTGATTATGTTTGTTTAATTAATCTCAGGCTAATCAATTCAATGTATATATATTTACATATCATATTATATATATATTAAGTACTTATCATAACAATCATAAAAATATATGTAAATAATATATATTAGAAATAATATATATATAGGTTATTATAATATATGAGCATTATGTGACAATACAATCTACAAATTTAATACATAACATACTTATAATATCATATTTTAAATGTATATAATAGCTATATAATCAATTTAAATAATAGAATAACTATATAGTATATATATGATATATGTTATATGTATAATGTATAATGTATATGAAAATATGATATAGTGTGTATATGATAAATATGAATTATATGTATATGATATGTATATGTATAATGTATAAGGAATATTCGTATATGTATAAATGTGATAATAATTGTATATTGTTTATTATGTAATTGATAAGTAATGATGATTATGTATATGTATTATGATTCATAATTGTACTATGGAAACATATGCATATGCATATGACATATGCATATTATTTATAACTCATTCGTATATTATATTAGTGATTTATATATTTTATCTTATTTAATATATTATATATATCACTCACTTTCTGAAATGTATGAAGTGAGATGTAATAAATATTCATAATTTTTTCATAAATTTATATTTATATTTATAAATATATCTTAATCACTCACTCCTATAATATTATTTATAATTTGTATATTTCTATATTATTATATATTTTTAAATATATAATATAATAATTATATATAAATTATAAGTTACTATATATAAGCTTTATACTTTATATATATTTATATAATTAAAATATTATATAATTAAATATTATTATATATATATATAATATATGTATTGTATGTATATGTATATATAATAAATACTATATAAATATTAGATAGATATATATATAATAGATAATAGTAAAAACCTAAGTATAATTAGTAATAAAACTATAAAATATATATTTAAAAAGATCACTATTTATTCACTCACTGATGGTAAATATATAATAAATCACCAAATAATATAATAATGTACAAAATATTATACATATATATTGTAAATATATACCACTGATAATATGAAGTAAATATAATAACAACACACACTCACTATGTAAATTATATACAATTAAATATATAATGAAAATATATACATATATACGTAAATATTTACTAATAGAGTATGTAGATGTCTTCGTGAACATAAAATATATATGTAAGAGAAATATATATATATATGTAAATAATTATACACGAAAATACTATATGGTTAAAATAACTATACAGAACATATATAGTATTAAATTACAACCTATCATGTATATTACTCGTTATTATATATCACTATATATTGTTAAATATGATTCTGAACTTATTATATTGTAAATCTACCAGTTATCACCATATATTATGTATAAAATATATCACCATAATAACACAATATGTAATGAGATAATAAACCCTTACTATATGTAAAATTGTATATATAACGTCAAAAATTCAAGTGAAACTCATATTATATAATTATATAAACTAAGTAGTATAATTCGTTCACTTATAGTATCATACTCATAGTGCACTCATATGTATATATAGTAAAATAATTAGATATATATGGTATATATATAAACTTTCTTAGATATATATTGAATATTAACTCATATAAATATTTAGAATATATAATTGTTAATAATAACTATACAATATGTGTTATTAAATGATATTATCACACATATGAGCGTCTCTCAATTTCTATATCTTATAAATATAGTATAGAATATAATAGTATATAACATCTGCCAAATCTAATATTATATAATAAAGAAACTAAATAGCCTAATATAGATACGACAAACCATCATCACAGCGAGCACACACCAAGTTGGTATATTAAGTACTAAATATAGTATAGTGTATATGTTTACATATATGTTTCATAACATATAGAACTAAACCGCTTAAAGGTATAAGTAATGTATTTATATATAATATTATATAAATAGTAGTAATATATTAATAATATATGTATATAACTATAGTTTATAACATCTTGTACTATTAACGGTATATTAAACCCATAAACAATTTTGTCAAAAGTCATAAATGCATATGGTTAGTGTTTTCTAATATTTTTCATAAGGAGCAGTAAATAAAAAAGCAGTCTACAAAAACCTTGGAAGGATATTTATTATTTTCAAGTACGGTCACTTTACAATTGACTAAGGAACTTCTATACGGAAATCAGCAAACAGATAATGATAATACAGGTATATGGTACACCTGAACCCTCTCTCATACATATACTCTATTTAATAACGAAATTCTAAACATAATTTCAGTATGATAATTTGATCAGAACGCCAAAATTAAATTTCACCATACTTTATTCCCTAAAGTGATGATTTTTTAATTTAATCAAAACGGAATTAATGGCAAGGAATAAAAAGGATACTGACACCCTTTGGTAACTGGCCCACTCCAGTCATGCCATGGCCGCGAAGTGAAGTCCGCAGCCCTCAGCTCTGCAAAAGAACGTCAATCCAGAAATGAAGAGAAAAAAAAAACAAAAAGAAGAAAAAAAGAAAGAAAAAAATGAAAGAAAAAAAAGAAAAAAAAGAAAAAAAAAAGAAAGAAAGGAGAGAGAGAGAGAGAGAGAGAAGAGAGAGAGAGAGAGAGAGAGAGAGAGAGAGAGAGAGAGAGAGAGAGAGAGAGAGAGAGAGAGAGAGAGAGAGAGAGAGAGAGAGAGAGAGAGATGAAAAAAAAAAAAAAAAAAAAAAAACTTATAATTCTCAGTTTTATTAAGTATGCTTTTCTACAACTGAATCGAACGTACATATCCGGAAACAACTGTAAGTTGTTGGATGTCATTAGGAGTACTACAGCCATGTCAATGCTCTTGAGTAGTGTCTGGAAGGTATGACTGTTAAGTCTGTCAACTTTGTGTTAACTTTGACGTGAGAACTAGAGAAACACCAGCTACAAGCAACAATGCCCGCAGTCACATGCGGGTCCTTGCATTCAGTCCCTCATAGGCTCACAAAAGAAATTGATACCTTGAATTTTTTCCTTCCAAGCAGTTGCACAAGGCTTTTCTTGGTGAAAAGCACAATTGTGCCTATAAAGTACCTTTACATATATGTATACATATATGCTGCCCTAATGACTTCCCAACACAATTTAAAATGTGGACATCACTGCAGGTGCACCCAATAAATTTTGAAGGTGCATGGCCATTAGATTGCCTGTCTGAACTAATGCAATGCTCAGTAGAATCAGTTCACATTCCGGAACTATTAAGCGGAATGTGGATGATCTGTAACAGAGCACACATTTTATCCAGATAAATGCAGATATCTTTATACAAATATATCAAATTATATGTCTATACTGCATCTATACACACATTCACACATTCAATTACACTCTCTCTCATGCAAACGCATGTGCGCGCGTGCACACACACACACACACACACACACAAAATGCTAGAATAAATGCTTATAGTCATATTTTGGCTATCCTACAGATTATGGGATCATGTGATAATTAGGTAACAAAATACGCAATACTTTTTTGAGATTTAACACCTATGATCTAGATGATGTGACTACCATATCATGAAAAAATTTGGCTTGAAGGATGGGTGATGTGAACATCCCATCATGGGAAAATTTTGCTGTGGGCTAGGGTAACACGAACTTGACGTCATGAACCTTTCGGCTAAAGGCCGGGGTGACAGGATTTACGAAGGGGCGTTAGCATTACTTCCATCAATGAACAAGTGTGGAATGTATTTTCTGTGAGCCATAACTAGAGGAGCGCTGACTCAATGAAGGATGCTATTTCCATGCTCAGGATCCCATTCCTGGCTAACATGACCAGAAATTGAATATTATGAAAATTAATGAAAAATGACACAAATAACAAAATATTACATAGAGAGATGATATGGAGTCTGTATGAGGAAAACAGTCACTTAATATCTGGATAAAGCACACCAATTAACAAATATAGATATAGGAAAAAGGCTAAAAAGCACATACTGCTTATGCAGAAAAGGAGAATATAATATTGCAAAGGGGAAAAATGGAGTCTTCCTACGGCACATGACTTCATGTGTGCCAGGCGCTACAAGCCCCACACCTGTCAGAGTGGCCGCTCAAGTGTGCTTAATGCCCGTATTTTGGGCCATGTGATGGCAGTGAAGCATCAGGATCCAATGGGATAACTGACAGTTGGCAAAATACTGTAACTGCTGTCAGCAGCTTCATTCTATTTAAAGCAACTCCAAAAAAAAGTTCTTGCATAGGATATTGATAATAACACCAACAAAAGGGCTTTAAAAGACCCACCTACCTGCTTGCTGGACAATAAGTAGTTTATATATCTAAACCATGATTCATAGACAACACTCAAACAAAGTTTGAGAACTTTGATCCTAAATTCATCTGAAAGTTATTGAATATGTATTATAAATAAGAAGGATTCATGTTTAATAACTGATATATCAATAACAAACACACAACACCCACTTACAAACTCTGCACAACAACCAAGGAGAGGTGT